CGCTCAGTTTGGGCATTCAGGTTTTCTGTGGCCAGAACTGGTTGATATCATCCAACTCTGACAAAGAAATATATGCAGTATCACTGTTTCCCTTTTACTTTACAAATTGTCTGTGTAAGCCTAGAAATCAGAACAAATTACAGTTTCTAAGTCCTACTCTGTGTCAGTTTTTAAAATGATTTATTTGCTTTCTGTAAAACAACAACAACAACAAATCCAATATTTTATAAAATTATCTAAACGAACATAATTTGTGGCAACCACTACCATCATAAAAAATGGCACGGGACCACATGAAGCTTCTGTTTTGGGAGGTTTCAATATGTTGGTGTGTGTATTTTGATTTTAAGCAGCCTAAAATTTGTTTACATTTCTAAAATCGAATTTGTCTAGAACTAATTTTTCAACCTCTTGTCCTACTCTGGCAATGGAGGTGCAGAGGCCAGCACTCCCCTTTAGATTTCTTAATATAAGATGATTGCTAATCTGCACCCCCCTTTTTATAGACCCCATCCTCATGTTGTTTCATTTAGAAAAACCAAACCAAACAATATAAAACAAACAATTTAAAAAATCAAAACTGACACTCTTTTTGACGGTGACTTTAACATCTATGCAGATGACACTCTCCTTACAATCAATTACCTTAATGAAAAAAACATGTTAAATCTACAAAACCTAAGAGCCTGGTGATTATTTAGCAGAAATCTCTTATGCAAGAACTCTGAATAAGTTTTTTCCAGACAATTTAAAGTGCTTTACTTATTTTGATGTTATTACAAAATGATCAGGAACAAGTGAAATATAAATCTAAATGTTTCAGTGTCATGTCTAATCCAAATACAGGATTTTGCATGCAAATTTATTAGTATTTAGAAATTCTGCACCCTACTGTAAATAGCATAACATACCTGGGATTTTTTCTTTTACTTACTTTAACAATTCCAAAGGAGAGATGAATTTTTGTTGATCACTTTAGGGAATGTTTTTAATTGCGATTTTGATTGTTTTATATAGATTAATCAATTAAATTATGAAACTCTAGAGAGCTCATTTTAATCTTTTTTTTATCCTTTTTGCATTGAGAGTTTCGAACAAAGTTACTTCTTGAAATTTTACAGTGGCACCACGACAACGTCCAACATGAGAAATGAGACTTAACCATCTGCAAAATTCTCTGCCTTAATTGTCCTTGAGGAATATGTTGAACCCCAGCTGCCAAACATGATTAATTTACAGACTTCTTTTTTTATACGAGAACATCTATTTACAAGTTTCGTCGGTTTTTGGGTTTTGCATGAAGTCCATTAAGTATTGAATTGAAAAGTCGTGTGATTTGTGCCGTTTTCTTTTCTTTTTTTCTTTCATTCTTTCGGGTTCTTTTTGGTTTTTTTTGTTTTTTTTTTTACCCAAGCAGTATTATTAAAATGAAGATAAATTGCAGCCAGTCTCAGGGAAATTTTTCTCAAAAGAAACAAAGCCAACACCGAAGATATATAAAATGCACTTTGTTCATCAGAGGGAGAGATAAAGAAAGACTCCACTCAGCGAGCTCTGAATGCTGCATTTCATGCCTTCAACAATTATGCTGAAAGGTCAAGTATTACAGCATCTTGTGTTCCGCTTTGCATGCAAAGTATTTCAGTTCGCAAATGACCCTCGTTTGCGCTCTTTGCACAATGGCTCGAAGAAGCAGATAAACGTAGCACAATTAAAGATTTTTGCTGCTAGCTCACAATAACATTTACCAAGGGGGGTGATTGCATTTGCTGTGTAATTGTCCTATTTGTAATCCTCATGAATGCTTGGGCCTGCTGCAATGAAATGTTTAGGAACTTAAGAAAGAAGAACGAGAGTGGCTGTATTTAAAAAGAACACAGTTTTCATATATACATATAGATTTATAAGATTATACAACGACTAATATGAAAATGCTTTTTTGAGTATATCTTATGTAATAAATGCAGACTTTGTGCTCATTTTTCATTTTCCCATTGACGTATTCTTTTCAGCACCGTGGACAGCACCCGTGTCATCATTAACATCTAAATCAGAAGAAAAGCAATTAAACGCACTACAAACACTTACTTAGCATATTATTATTATTATTATTATTATTATTATTATTATTATTATTATTATTATTTGTTTATGTGAAATTCAAGTAATTATTGGAGCACTTCTTAATGTCGAGAATAGGCCACGCCATCGTCACATACTCAGCAGCAATGTATGTCAGGAATCACACACCAGTGAACAAAATCACCAACGACTCACTAGTTTTTGTTTAATGATTGCAGGTCTGTTAATATTAATAGGTAATCTACGTGAGCATTACTCTTATTTGAATTTTTCCCAATATAAAAAAAAACTTTTGAAAACTGTTTTGTAAGTTGTAGTTTTAGAACAAATTAAAAAAACAAACACAAAAAGAAACCCAAGCTACTGATAACTGCCCTGCTAGGCTCACTGTATCTAACTAGTTAGCTGTTAGGCTGTCTCTTTACCGCGATGTCGATATTTGTTGGGTTTAGTAAAAAGAATCTAATAAAATGCTTAATGTGCTCTGAAAAGAAATCCACAATTTATACATTTTGAGGGAAAATTAAAATAAAAGTTAAAGAGACCCCAGCCCCCACTTTTATTTCATTTCTGAAGCTATATATATATATATATATATATATATATAGATATATATATATATATATATATATATATATATATATATATATATATATATATATATATACATTTTATACATTTTGTCCTCCTCAACTTTAAATTGAGTATTGACTACGTACTACTGATACACTGGGTCCCTGGGTGAATGAAATTCAGCAGCTAGTCACTAACTCAAATATGATTACCTTGAGATTAGAGACTAATTGCTTGGGGTTCGTGAAGACAGCCCACAATAAAGGCAGGAAGACTTGAGAAGTTGCACTGTGGGTTTCTACAAAAGAGAGCGATGAGAGCACACACGTTTCCAACAAGTCATTCTCAACAGCTACAAGCTGCACACAAAGACCACACACCGCGCCAAAGACATGTTAATGTAATCCCAAAGTTCTCACTTCTCTCCCGAACAAAACCTGCTCTGCAAAATACCTAATAGAAGATAGTTTCTGATGCTGGTAAGATTTCACTTAAAGTCTCTAAAATTGCTTTTCTAGGGGCTGCCTGGTGCCCTTAAACTGTATCTTTCTCTGGCTTCAAGGGAAAGACCTACTGCGTGCTTGGAAAGGAGACGGACGTGAGTTTAGTGCCTAATTTTTTTTGAACATCACATTTTTTATACGCTAATACTGACTGAATATGCTTTTGGATTTTAAATACAAAGTTGTAGAAAATCAGTTAATGTTCTTGTATTTGTATTAACATTAGCCCCCATTAAGCAAAAAGCACTGCTGAGCCCCAGTTCTCTGAGTGTTTTGCAGAATTTGTGCTAAAATGGGACTTATGCAAAAGTCATATAAACAACTTGTGGTCCAGTTGTGGACTAAGGCTTCTAACTGTACTATATGAGCCGCATGTACTTTGGCCACCGATGCATACGGTAAGTATCAGAAAAAATAGAGAATATTAAAAAATACAAAACAAAAAACCCCCAAAACATAATGGTCACCTCGGGCGTCAAATAAAGCTGGGTGACTTTGAAAAACAGTAGTATGTGAATAGTTGAGTACATTCCGGTCTAGAAATAAAGAAGTTTCCATATAATTAATAAAATTTCAGGAATTAAAAGTGCAGCAGGACCGGAAAAGTCAGATAGGCAAATGGAAGGAAAAATTACTTTGGTTGGATCATGTGGAGTAAAGATCAATTATCTCAAGACAACGGATAAACATCCAGAGAAGTTTTATTAAAGTGTATGCTTTAAATCCTCACTTATTTCAGGCAGCATCAGAAATGAAAGCCAGTAGAAGCCAAGAAGCTGGAGGATTAAAAAAAAAAAGCTTTAAAGATAAATTATTTTCATTATGTATCCTGTCTGAAAGGCTCTAAAATTATAGCTTTATGACACATGACAGCGCTGATTTGAAAACAACTTACCCTGGTCAAGCCATAACCGAAAATCGCCCATCATTAACCCCGCCGCTTAGCTACCACATTGTTTACTGTTTAAGACCTATATCTCTGTTAGGTGGCAGGAGAATAGTCTATAATGATTATTATACCTTTTATTTACCGAACCCTACAACTAAAGGGAAATAAATTACAGCTTGAGTTCTTTATTTTGAAAATAAAGATATCTCCAAGTGTCAAACATCCCACAGGGTTAAAAAAAAAATCTACAGTCTAATATTTAACATATATAAATATCTGTGTGGAGGCAGGTTTGTTTTTAATGCCCGACACAAACAGCCTGTTTCCTTTCAATTCCCGGATTGATTATTGATGAACCATCTGATAGCCCCGCGCCAACAGTTCACCTCACGACTCTTTTGAGAAGAATACGGCGCTGTTTGGCGAGGGATTTCATCGATAAGCTGCCCTCTGAGCAGCGTTTGTGTTTGATGTTGGGAGTCGAGGTACCTTACCTTTCTGACTCACGCCGAGAGAAAACACACATACAGAAAGAGAAAAGAAAAAAGCACATAAAAGGCTCAGTTTACTCTGCAGGGCATGCTTGTGTGAGTTGCAGCCATGAAACGATAAGCCTGCGAGGTATGTGATTTAGCAGGAGAAAAAACAGGGGCTGGGGGGTGAAATAGGCCCCAGTATTTACTGTCATGTCAGAACTAATGCGGCATTTAGTTATTTTTTCCCACGTTCTGACAAATCTGAACATATTTTGAAAACTTCTAGTTGCTTGTTCTTTCTTGCATTTTATCTGCAAAAAACTAATAATAATAATAATAATAATAATAATAATAATAATAATAATAATAATAATAATAATAATAATAACCCTGCTGTTTTGTTGTCTTTACCTAAATAATTATTTAATTTCACAACAAAGTTTAACTGTTTGGGTTCCATAATTTATTAATAGGACTGTTTTGCTGTAAGTCAAATATCTATATAAGTTACAAAGAAATAAAACGTACAAATACCAGTGAAACGACAACAAACCGGCAATAGCGTCAAAAACTTTGTACAACAAATAGCTAAAATTCAAACCTTTTACTGAAATATACAAGCTAGATCTACGGCTTACATTAAATTCTATTATGAATCAGAGTCATCACATTTGTGTCTGAGGAGGGAAATTTAAGAGCACCCAGCAGTCCTGCAGTCTATCTGCGTCTCTGTTTCGGGTTTAGTTATCCCAACTATGGGGCCTATTTGACTGCTGATTCTTCCTTTGTGTCAATATAATTTACATAAATAAATCCCAAGACTTTTACATCCGCAGTTTGTGAACAAGTGATTCTTCCACAAGAGTCACACTTCCTTTCGAAATGGGGAGGAGAAAAAATTCAAGAAGAGCTGCGTCGGTTTCACTCGGTTCTTGTTCAAGTGCGCACATTTACAGTGAAACTTGCCGAGCATTAACATAAAAATGTCTTTTCTTTTTTAAAATTAGATTTAAATCATAGCCGGCGCCTCTTGTCACCATGTCCTGCCGTATAACAGGGCTGAACACTGCAAGGCCGAGCCGTACTCTGCGGCGGGGGAGTTGAGGTGGGAGAGGCCGGCCACTTGGCTCTGAAGTGAGGGCGGACTGGAGGAGTGCTGCGCCAAGTCTGGAGAGTGACCTGTGCTTCCCACCTGCTGGCTCTGATGCTGGCCGAGGCCGGACGTGTTGTTAGACATAATCATGACATTGCCCCCTTGCTGGTGGTGCGTCTGAGCGGAGGATGTGGGCGTGTGGCCGCTGCCTTGGCACGGCTTCCCATCCTTTACCAGCACCGGCACAGCTACTCTCCGAGGTGACTGCTGCTGCTGTTGTTGGCAGGAGCCGCTCTCCTGCTGCATCTGCTGCTGGGAGGCTTTGTCTTTTGCCTGCCTCTTCATTTTATACCGGTGATTCTGGAACCAGATTTTCACCTGGGTCGGGGTGAGGTGGATCATACTTGCCAGGTGTTCCCTCTCCGGCGCCGACAGGTATTTCTGCTGCTTGAAGCGTCGCTCCAGCTCGTACACCTGCGCCTGGGAGAACAGCACTCGCCTCTTTCTCCTCGGTGTGGTTGACAGAGAGCCCATGCCTTTACCCACGTCTGCCAGGGAACTGAGACTGCCCATGCTGCCCATGTTCATCCCGGATGATGAGCCCATGAAGCGGGAAACTGAGGGGGGAAAATAATTGTAATTAAATTCAATTTTTTTTAAAAGTTATATTCTCGTGTTACATAGAGACATTTATATGGAGAGAAAATTTAGTATGGACAAATATCATTTGCAGATGCAAAAATCAACAATGTTACTCAATTATCAGCTTTTTATAAATCTTCACGGGTCTCAAAGAAGCAGACACCTTTATTTACAACACCTAAAACTCAAAAGTGTCAAAGTGAAAGCGTGTTCATAAACTACATCGACCAAATTTAAGGAGCCGCTCATAAATGACAGCAAAGCTGTTACTGCTGGATGAGTGTGAAAGCCCTGAAGGAAAACTGTTCCATTATTTTTCTGTCGTGAGAATCTTTACAAATGTTGAAATCTGTGGATTAAAAACTTGAATATTTGCGCGATTTCTGCCCCTCCTTACTGGAAACATCTAAAGTACCGAAACTTGAAAAATGCCAATTTTGTGCCGAAAAACGTAAAGATTATAAAAACTGTACTGCAACTCCTAAAACACAGCACCACGAAACATCCGCAAAAATATGGATTTCAGCTCAATGCGGACTGTGATAACTCCAAGCTGGAGTCAAAGAACAGGTGCAGGATACTCACTGGTGGAAAAACGCGGATCTGGGTTGGCTCCGTACCAGCCGGTTGCCGTGGCGCTGCCCCTCATGCCGTCTTGGTAAGACGGCAGGTCGCCCATGTTGCCCAGGTTGCCGTTACAGTAGCCCCCCATGGCCGTGTGTGACAGCTGAGAAACACCTGCCGCAGTCATGTGGTAAGCCGCAGACACAGTCCCATTATGGCCCATGTGGTGCTGCTGCATCGCCGCCTGTGAGACTTGCGGCTGCCGGTAAGAAGTGAGAGGTGCCCCCAAGTTGTTATTCTCCATACTTACTTTCTTATAGCTCTCCTCAAGGGGACTCAAGATATCGGAAACAGAAAAAGGAGTCGTATGCTTAGGGCTCATCGACATTGTTCTGGGGCTGGAGAGGGAGAAATTAGAAGGCAAGGCAATCTCTCCTTCTGCCTTTTTTTTTTTTTTTTTTTTGGCCAAAGCCCCTCTGCTTCCTGTTGTCTCAACGTCGATCCTGGTAGATGAACACGTAAGAGAGCGCCTCAAGTCCGCCTTAATTGGATTGAGTGGGAGCTCGGTGCTGGCTTTGGTTTGTTTTAGCTGGGTGCCAGGTTTAAGGCTACCATCAGAGGCGGGGCATCGCCAACAATACAAAACAGCTCTAGCCTCCTTTCGTCGAGCGTAATTTCATTTACAAGACATGTGCTCCCCTCCCACTAACAATAACATAAGCACCGTGCATGATCATAAATGTTCATCCCCGAGACTGCAAGCGGTGTCCGAGCACGCTGCAGCTGCTGCATGTGTGGAGTTTGGGACTTGTTGATGTTGCTGATGAACACGTGGCTGCACCTTGAGATTGCAGTGACCACAATACACTTTATTAACTGTAGTGATGTTTACGAGGGCCTCTTGATGAAAGGAGGCCTATATGGACTTGAGAGTTGGAGAACCACTCCTCAGTTGAACTACTGACTTTTAATGGCCATGAGAGGCCTCCAGTGATTGCAGGATTGTTTGTGTTATGCCTTATCGTACTCAGACATGCAAAAGTGCACTTGCGCGGAGGGAAAATGACTGATACTGATAAGTAAATAAATACACATCCGCGTGTTAAGTGGCTGCGCAAATGATTAACCCCCCTCGTTTTTTTTCTTTTTTTCCTTTTGATATCATTGGACGCAAGGAGCGCATTACCTAAATTCAGATGCACACACTCGTCTAAGAGACCCAGTGAAAAAAATTGAGTCTGGAGTAGGAGAGGCGCTCATGCGAAGTTAACGGCGTTCAAATAGCTACTCTCCTGCAGCACAATGCCAGGTATAGCCCTCAGTAGCATCTTGCCTTAATGCTCAAGGAGGCATTACCGTTTAACCCAATCATATCTCATTTGTAAAATTTTGTATGTTTGTATGAGAAAATATTTTTTAAAAGCCCTGTGGTGCCTCTGAGTTCACTTTTAGGTGGAATTCTCCTCTTCACAAACAATATATATATATATATATATATATATATATATATATATATATATATATATATATATATATATATATATATATATATACATACATATATATATACATACACACACACACACACATATATATATATATATATATATATATATATATATATATATATATATATATATATATATATATATATATATATATATATTGTTACTATCATTATCATTATTATTATTATTATTATTATTATTTAGGATTATTTTAGCTATAAATCAATATCTTACGTATAGGTTACAAATCCCAAGAATTTATAAAATTACACCGAACAAAACAAATAGGCGAATTAAAATCGATGCAGTAACTTCTACTTACACAGTCTGTGATGCCTTGAGCCTGTGCACACATTAAACAGATAAAACAGCTGATAATGTAGAGGTCTTGTGGGGCGGTCTAACGTCAGGTGCCAGATGCCGCAGAAGTCTGCGCCTGCAGACTCAAACCATCTCACCTACAGGAATTAAGGAAACACAGCGTCTTCTGGTGGCAACCCCGCTTGGCCGTTGCGCTGTGATCTCCTTCACTCCGCTGTGATTCTAAATGTTTTTTGTTTTTTTTTAAATTACATGATATAATATTTGCTTGTTTGTCATAGTAAGAATGGCGCAGTAAAGGCAAAGACCTGCCAAACGGGAGCTAGGGTCAGCGCCGTGAGTGTGTAGCCTGCAGTGGCATACAGATCACTGCCAGTTTGTCACGGGAATCACCAGTTCTGCTATTTTCCTGGCTTGTGAATATTTCACGGCTGCCTGCATGTCCTTGCAGGATAATCTGCGCTCTATTTACAGCCCACTAGTCCAATATAAGGAGTCCCCACAATATACATATCAAAACAATTCAATCCATTCTATTCCAAAACAACCCAATCCAATCTTTAATGAAGCAATATTGTCTTATAGTCCAAGACTAAATGTTACAGCTGCAATAAATTGTTCGGATGATAGCCGGGGTGCGGGTGCATAATCGCAGGCAATTAAAATTACAGCATCTTTCTGCATCCAAGGTAAATCTTGCTTATGCATTCCTTAATTACGGAATTTCGCAAGACATTCTTAATCATCTAAATCAGTACTTTTTTCTTGTTCTGGCACACAGTTATTACGGCCAATTAGTGGCAATTAGTTCAAATGTTCCGACTAATTCCTCACAATAATGAGGACACTTTGAAGTGGCGGGTATGAGGCTACCGAGCCTTTGTTACTGAGGCTTCATGTTGTTAGTTATGAACTGATTGGTGCATGATATACTCAACAGAGCAACTACAGACCTTGAAAAATAAAATGCGGACGATAAAAAGTAAAACGGAAGTTGCTTGCTGTTGTTAATATCAATTAAACCCTTAATTTCTTTTACATTAAAAGATATCCAGAGCAGCAGGAAAATAACAAATGTACCACGTTTAAATGTTATATAAAAATACTGAACTTTGCAAATTAATTTCCAAAAACATCCACACTCGCGTTTTCATCAATTTATCAAGTATACATAAAATAAATCTATCTCTCTTGAAATAATACGACAAATAATAAATACCATGTTGTAATTTGTATTCAAAACCAGCATAGCGTTCAGGCCACTTTACAAAGTTATCTTTGTTAAATGTCAACAGTGTTCTTGTGCCAAAACACTAACCCTGCTGACTCTGGCTTTATCAAAGTGGTCAGATTAGAGGTGCAGCAACTACCTGCTATTGCTCCTGCAGCCTTTGGCTTGCCTGAATACTCTTTTCTTTCGAAACTCCAACTTTTGTTTTCTTGACTAAGCTACATCTCATTCACCTTGTACCCGTAAACAGCCTAAAATAGAAGGATAGAAGAAAAAACAGAGAGAAAAAGTGGGCTGCATGTGTGTGCTTCATCATTTCACGTGAAAGTCCTGACGACCTCGTGAGTCATTTCCTTGTTTCAGCTTCAACTGTGAACTACAGGAGGTCACTAATTAGTAATAACCCTTTATTTCCCCACCTCATAATTTATCCAATCAGCTCACGTCATTCTGAATTTTTGAGATTTATTTTGTAGACGTTGAAAAATCCACTTGGTTCAAATGAGAGGTGTTGTTGGACCCTGTCACACAGCCTATGAGGAAATGCTGAAACATGACGTCACGAGACGAAGCCAATATGATGCCACTAGGGGCAGACATACTGCTGCACCCAATCAGCAGCTTCAAAGTAACGTAGTAGTTGAGTTCCAAAAAGTGAAACCAGTGTTTTTCCAGTGAAGCACGACCCCTAGCGGTCCAGAGGCTCTCTCCATCCAAGCAACGAAAATCACCCTTTAGTGCATTTCTTTCATGACGGGAGTGAGAGGGTTTCCGAAATGATACCGTGTGTTCTTGCGCCATCTGGAGGTTGATGCTTTATTTATTGATAAATACCCACAGATTCATTTTGAGGACATGATAATTCTCGCCACATGAATGTTATGAAAAATAATGCCATTACACAAATTCACAAGTGGGGCAAGCTAGGAAAGCTCTTTAGTGTTTTAACTAAAACTAGACTTTTTGGGATTATCTGTTGAAAGTCACTAACAGTTATTTGATCAGACAGTCTTATATCTGTATGGGTGTAGAGGTGTAGGGCAATGAAGACATTTCATATATTGAAGCTTTTCAGGTTATCATTATTTATCTGAATGTAGTTCTTTTATTGGATCTTATGTTACTTTTTGATTTATTCCTTTATTGTTTAACTTCTAAGTTTTTACATTTCTAGACCTTCTGGCCTGTGTTTGTCTTTTAAGTTTTGTGTTATTGTACAGAACTTTGGTCAGCCCTGTTGTTGTTTTTAAAGGTGCTTTGTGGGATGGAATGGGATTTTAAGTCGCACAGACAGAAATATCTGCCTGTATATTTTAGGTTGAGACCAAATGAATACAAGACAACGGGAGCTGTTTAGCCCTAAAGACATTATTATGCAGTGTAAACTTGCAAAACTTAAGGAAGCTCTATCTGCATTTGGACATGAGTAATTTATTGATAGATGTATTTATTTTAGTTTCTTTTTGTTTGTCTTGCTCTATGGTGACATGTATTGAATGACCCCATGCCATATTTGTGTGTATTTTCTCTTTTACCCAAGGAGGGGGTAATATAACGCTAAAGCTTTTCAAATTTAAACTAAATATTTTCACTCTTTGGCCTTTCCACAGAAACACACACACACACACACACACACACACACACACACACACACACACACACACATACATATATATACATATATATGTATGTGTGTGTGTATACATATATATATATATATATATACACATATATATATATATATACATATATATATATATATATATATATATATATATATATATATATATATATATATATATATATATATATATATATATATATATATATATATATATATATATATATATTTTTTTTTTTTTTTTTTTTTTTTTTTTTTTTTTAATATGCCACACTAACCTATATCAGTCAGTCGATTTTTTAAATGTGCAGTATGGAGTATAAAACTGTAAAATGTCTAATGTGATACACAGACTCTGACTGAAGTACAAAAACATCATGGTGAACATCAAGAGAAACATGAAAGTATAAGGAAACTGAGTAGTTTGAACAGGTCAAAAAGAATACAATTAGTTTTTCTGTATATGTTAGAAAAGAACTCAAACTGCGGTAGTTTTGGTTTAGTATTAAATCACCTATGAAAAAGTGCTGGAAAGTCAGATCATTACACAATACCCAAATTCTCACAGTGGGTATAGCAAACTGCAATAAGGGATCTCATGTCTCCCAGCAGAATTTAAATGCAACAAAGTGAGGTTGGTCATGACCCTCAAAACCTGAAAGACCAATATTTTCAGTGTAGAAGTGTTGTTGCCACATCTGTTTGTTGAGTTACTTCCTCCAACAAGCAATCAAATCCTTGCCATTAGATACAATCTGGACTGAACGCAAAGGCGAAAATGGTGGCATGTGGAACTGAGGAAGGTGCACTGTGAATACCATGAAGAGCAACTGAACCCTCTTATGTCCTGAGCTTATCAACAAAGGATCAAAGAAGGGTCGTTCCCACCTGAGGACCCAGTATTTGATGCACCTACTAATCCATTCTTATTTCCAACATTACGAGTATCATCATCAGATCATATTAGCTGTAAAACTACATTCACATTTCTTTAAGTACTTAAATGTAGCACTACTTCACTTGAGTCATGTTATTGGACTTCACCTTTCTACTTCAGAGAAAAAAATACTATACTTATAATCTGTGAGTTAGTTACACTGAACATTAAAATGACTAAAGGTGTAATAATAAAGTAATAATAAATCTTCTGTATTAATTTTGATACTGGGAGGATTAAAAGGATATTCCTTTACTTCTACTTTATATTGGACTTGAGTATCTTTTGAATACAGTATTCTTACAGATAAGCATCTCAAAAACTTCTCAGCCTCAAATACCATTAAATTCTGAGGTACTGATGTGTTATCCAGTTTATTACAATTAAATGATCGCTGATCTGGTTTATTGATTTAAATCAGGATATATCTTAGTTATTATTGAATTTCTGTAATCCATGCCATCTCGCATGTTTCAGGACTAAACATGACTGTATTTTTATCATAGCTGATAACGTGATTATCAAATGTTTCATTTACCGTTTAACCAAAAGTCTTTCATTATAAAGTAAGAGGAACATTATCGATATGCTAATATCAATAATCTTTAGGGACTTTTTCAGCTTTGACTGCAATTATTTATATTTGTCATTGGTTGTAGCAATAACAGCTAGAGCCTATCCCTGCTGTCACTGGGCGAAGGGTGAGGTACACCCAGGATATAGGCTACATCAGTCTAGCCTGCATTTTTAGGACTGAGGGGGGAGGCTGGAGTACCCGGAGAGATCCCATGCAGGCACCAGATAAAAATGTAGACTCCACACAGAAAAACCCCAGTCAGCTAAGTGCAAACCAGGAGGTGATAGCCACTGTAGAAATAAGCTAATGCTCTCTTTTTCATTTACTTATTTTACTCCTGCTTAAAATATAACTTCACATTAGTCTTTCAGATGTAAAAGGATTTAAACATAGTGGACATGCCGATGTAATGCTTTTCTCACTTTATGTAGTGTTGAGTGAGAAAAGCTTTACATCTATATCTGCTCAAATTATTTTTTTGCTCAAAGGGGTGAACAAAGCACATTAGAAGATGGTGCCCCACTCAGAGGTAAAGGCATGCTCAAAAGCTAGGGGCAAACCACTGAGACCCCTGGGAGGGCTGACTGCTAAACCTTGATGTTACTCCATTCTAAAAAACAAAACAGCTAAGCTACAGCAAAGCAAACTCAGAAGTCAATATATTCTTGCATGAAGAACACAACAAACCAGAAGAGGAGCAACAGTGAAACTAACTTATGAGTTTTGTGTGGAGGCAGAGCAGGACTGGGACAAAAAATCAGCCTGGGAATTTTGAGCCCACCGGGTATTATAGGAAAAGCCATAAAGCCTTTGAATGAAAACAGTGATGTACACTGTCTTGTTGGTATATATGTATCGATCTAATAAACTTAAACTTACGACATCCTCCCGATTCTGGTATTTTAAACAGTATTTAGCAGAAATATTAAACAACAAAATAAGGGAACCACCCCGCACCCTCCGCTTCATGATGCTTAATCGATGTAATAGACTTTAATTTAATGCATGTGTAAAACAAATGCACAGACACCTTTTTTTTTTGGTTCTTTCTTCTTTTTTTCTTTTTTTTACAATAATTAAATAGATTCAACATCGATCGTGGCTCAAGAGTTGGGAGTTCGCCTTGTAATCGGAAGGTTGCCGGTTCGAGCCCCGGCTTGGACAGTCTCGGTCGTTGTGTCCTTGGGCAAGACACTTCACCCGTTGCCTACTGGTGGTGGTCAGAGGGCCCGGTGGCGCCAGTGTCCGGCAGCCTCGTCTCTGTCAGTGTGCCCCAGGGTGGCTTTGGCTACAATGTAGCTTGCCATCACCAGTGTGTGAATGTGTGCGTGAATGGGTGGATGACTGGATATGTAAAAGCGCTTTGGGGTCCTTAGGGACTAGTAAAGCGCTATATAAATACAAGCCATTTACCATTTACCATTCTTCAACAGAATTGCAGATTGCACAGATGATACCTTCCCAAAGGAAAAAGTACTATGGCTTAGGATGTATATTAGATTTAATAGTTACTATATACAATAATGGATTTTTATACATTTAAGATTAACATTTTGGTTGTAAGATTCAGATAATCATTTATTAAAAGCTAGACATTTTAAATTAGAATAAGAAAGAAAGGTATTTCATTGTGACCCCCTTTCCCTGTTAATGCCCTACCTGGCCCCCTGGCAAAGCTTTGCTAGATCCGCCCCTGCACAGTTACCAGCTGTCAGCTACTTAGAAAAGGATCCTGGTGTTATTTGTCTCTCAGAAACAGTTCATAACTTCCCGTCAACTCATTCATGTCACCTAAAAGGTAAACATGTTTCTACATCACCTGTTCAGCTCTGATGATTCAGTAAGGACATCCCCTGGTTTCATCTTCATGTTTCCCTCTCACCACATATCCAAACCGATATCATGACCAGCAGCTTTTACAGCTGTGGCTCCAGCAAACATCAGCTGATACTAGAAAGAAATGCTAAATAAATTCTAATCGCATTCATTTTCATCTCAATACGGAACTTTAAAGTTCGACCTCATTGGCTGTAATTTGCCTAGGCCAGAGTCGATCATGACCAGTTGGCCAGTCCACCACCTTTCAAACAGAAAACATCGGCCCATAAAAATGAAAAATCATCATAGGCCCACCGGGCAATTGCCCAGTATGCCCGATGGCCAGTCCAGCTTTTTGACTTTGATTTGTAGGTTTGTAGTATAGAAAGCAAACAAAATAACATCTGACAAAATAACCGTAAAGGCCGGTTTGGGGTTAAAATGTTTGGTCTTAATGTTTTCTCTACAAATAAATATAAGATTTTACATTTTTAAAAAACAGTTTGAAAAGGTGGCAATATTTGGTGAGCATCTTTACAACAATTTAAAACTCCTCCATGTGGCCTTAGCATGGACCTTATAGCTCCTTATAACTTTCCTGGAGGGGCCCCAGTGCAGGCCAGTGAGTAAAACTATAGGATGGGCATGTATTAGCCTGCCCGTCCTTTTCAGGCAATTCTTCTGACCAACTTAAAAAACCAATGGCAACCTCTAAAAAGCCTGTCTTTGTCACCCTTAAACCCCAAGATGCTTTAAAACACCATTGTGCAGTTAAACCTCATAAATTTGTCGCAGGGACTGATTAAACATCACGGGAATTGAAACACTAAAGATTTTGTCTCGGTCCCTTTTGGATGAGGGACAATGGTCCATTCACAGAGAGACACCCAAACAAAAAGAGCATTTAAGGAGAGATGCAGCGAGCTGAGGGGTTCGGCCAGTCCCCTCCATATGTGATACAAGGTGGCCCCAGTGATGCGGACAAAGGGCCAGGTGACAGTGACGATGGGCTGCAGGGTCACAGGACGAGCAAACAACATTATAGGGGGCGTGAAAGCAGAAGACCCCCCTCATCACTGATGAAAAACTGACATGATTTTAAACACTGAGGCATATTTTTCAAGATAAGCATGAGTGGACCTGCTTTCTTGAGGTGGCACAGCAATGTTAAAAAATAGTCACGTATGTATTATATTTAGGATAAGCTATAATATTACAAGTAACATTGTAGTGAATGTTTTTGTATTATTCTCGAGGATTGGTTTAAACTGTTGCCTGAATGCAGACACACAAAAACCCAAATGTGTTGTGTTTATACTAGAAAACAACAGTAAGAGCTCATTTTGCCTTTTTAAATCATTTGTAAATTAGAACAGTTCAATTGTGGAATAAATAATATTACATTTCTGTATGAGAAGTGAAAAAGGGTTGATGATTTGCCTTCAGTTACTGCTATGCCCCTCAAAAATCACATCATCATCATAATCACACACACACACACACACACACACACACACACACACACACACACACACACACACACACACACACACACACACACACACACACACACACACACACACACACACCAAGATTTCCAGATAAAGTTAATAGCTATATTAAGACCACTTTCCTCAGAATAACAAAAGTTAATTGTATAAGGGAAAAGCAGCTCTTAGTCCCAGACAACAACAGCGTGCTGTAGAGGGACAGGCCTTAATGTTTACTGGCTATTCTTATGCCAAACCTAGTCTGTTCAGATGTGATGTTTGCTCAGCTTTTGGGTGCAAAATTCGTTTTTAACATTATAAAAGCTCCCTGGGGCCTCTGTCAAGACCTGCTACATTTTTTTAGATAAAAAAAATAAATCTTTTTTTCTTTTAAGGTTGTTTTTATTTTAGAACTTCACATAAATCTTTACACAAAACCTTTTGTAGGAAAACGAAAACCTTTTATCTTTAGCTTAGTCTTTAGAAATGCATGCACAGGGTACACGCTTTTGGGGCCAACACATAAAAAAAGAAAGAAAGAAAGAAAGAAAGAAAGCACATTACATTGTCAAAATATACAAAATATGAAGAATTTTATTAATAATTTTGTTCACAGAAAGACAGTTAAATCTTTAAAAAAGTATCCTTAAAACCAACAAATGGCATATTCTCCCTTCATACTTATATAGCGGCTTTGCCCCTATTCTCCTATCCTGTTCTACCGCCTAATGCAGCTACTGGAACTCAATTATCAAGTCATTTATGTAAATATTACATTTAAAAAGGCTTAAAAATCACACGAATACACCTCGGTAATTAAAAATCTAAAGGCTACAGCAATGAGCCATGTAAGAGAAAACAACATTTAAAATTTCCGCATACGTGCGTAAATAATGTGCAAAATATAATTCGTTCTATAGAAAAAAATCTAAACGTTTAAGTTGCTCGAACATTTACAAAACATTCAGAAAACATTTGATGCCGTTCTAAATGAGTTAAACGAGACCTTTACTTGAAAGAATTAAGATGAACCGAATCACTCCAAAAGTCTCTCCAGGCGAAGCTGGAGGCCGCCGCCACTGCCGGAAAGTGTTGGTGGTACCTTGGAGGAAGAGCAATGGATGGATGGATGGATGATGGATGCTGAAGAGATGTGTAAGCTAAAGGGAAGGGCACCGGCTGAGATGACGGAGGTAAACACCCAAATTTCTCAGAGTCAAGTAAGCATGTGTGAAAGGGTTTCCCGTCTCGGACCAGGATCGGAACAACGACTCTGCGCAACACCGGCGGCTGCGGGATTTCTACGTCCTGCAGTGTTCCTTCTGCTCGACCTCGCTTCATCTTGTAGCGGTGGTTCTGAAACCAGATCTTCACCTGGGTTGGAGTCAGGCTCAGCAGCCGTGCCAGCTGTTCTCTCTCCGGACCCGACAGGTAGCGCTGCTGGCGGAAGCGCCTTTCCAGCTCAAGGGTCTGGGCCTTGGAGAACAAAACGCGGCGTTTCTTGCTCTTCTTGCTCTGCTCAGGCTCTGAATCGAGGGACGGGTCATCGGGCTTAGTTGAGTCAGGAGAGGCCTCGAAATTGCAATCGTCAGAAGCTGTAGAAAAAAAAACAGCAAGTTAGAATAAGCATTTTTAAACTGATGTGTCTATCTATCTATCTATCTATCTATCTATCTATCTATCTATCTATCTATCTATCTATCTATCTATCTATCTATCTATCTATCTATCTATCTATCTATCTATCTATCTATCTATCTATCATTTTGAGAAAGCAAATTGTTAAAACATTTCAGGGTAGTCTTAGTTTTTTCTCCCCTTGTTTTTAAAATTCATTATCACCCATCTCTCATGGCTTTAAACGCCCACTTACACATGCAAAGGCTCCGCTCGCAGTCGATCCATGAGCTGTAGGGTGAGCTGGAAGAGCAAGAGGAGTAAATCGGGGAAGACCGCTTTGCTGCATCCGCATCCTGCTCAGGCAAATCCAGGATGCTCCTTACGGAAAAACTGAACTTGGTCGGTGCAGCCATCCTTTCCTTGCATGCACTCTGGGTTTGTTCTGGCCGATAAGAAGCAAGCACTCAAACCAAATCTATCAAAAAAAAAAAGTCCACTTCACGCACTGTCCAAACACCAGTGTGCGCGCTGGCCTCCGTATTTACACAAACAGCACTTCATAAGCTGCAAACACAAGGGGCTCGCTTATAAATAGCCTCCTCCTCTGCTGAGTACCTGAATAGCTCGAGTGCTGACACCCAATGATGGTTAGGTGTGAACTGAGAAAAAAAATCCTCAGAGCTTCAAGAATGAGCGAAGGAAACACTCGTCATCATTACCGATTCGTCCCGTATCGTCAAACTGGGAAACAGATAATGGTAATTGTTGGAGCTGAATCACATCTTGGGTGGCAACTGACAACAGAGCCCATCCCATCCCCCCCACACACCCCCTCTCTCTCTCCTACACCTCGCCCCCCTCCTCCCTCTTTTTTGCCCAAACAACGTGTCCAATATTTGCATACAAAGTGAGCAATTAGCGTGATGCCTGCCAGTTGGTTTAACTAATACGCCTCTAATGGGCGTATTAATTGCAGACGTGAGAAGTCTTGACGTTTATGGACGGCGGAGGATTTCCAGACTTTTTTTCCGAAACGTCCTTTTTGGACTAGATGATTTATTATCATGTTTAATTTTTGGGCAAACAGAAATGTTAAAACTTGGTTTGGAAGATATGATTTGAAATAAGGGTGTTATATTATTGACAAATATTTTTTTAAGGTATTTGTATTTTATCGTGTTTAGAACTGCTAATATAATAGCGATAACTGTAACCCAACAGCAGATTTTTACCTAACTTTAACACGAAAATAAGCCTGGGGGATTTTCTGATAAATTGCTGCAGTGGTTGGTCAATTTGTTACCCTTGTGCTAGCCTATAAAGCACATTAATTGCAAAGCGTGAATCCAGTCTCATGTCAACACGATGTTGGTGGTGGTGGTGGTGGGGGTGCTTTTCCTCCTCCCTACTTCTAGTAACTGATATTGATATCCACCCTCAGCCACTTCACCAAGGTGCACGAGGGCCGAGGAGGAGAGTAGTGGTGGACATGCCTCCCCAGTCGTCCTGGGTGGTCGAACGAGGGGGAACACAAATACATGCCAACCAGAGAAGGGGAACAAAGGGGGAAAATGTAGCCCCGCGTCCGAGACCCGTTGGAAGCATTTGTTCCAGTCAAGATTTTGCATTTGTTCAGTCCAGCAATAATGCCTGATTGACGCCCCGGCACAATGTCCTTTAACTTAGCAAGATAAATCCGAGCTTGTTCTGTGTTGTCATGGTTTTGAATGGAGCTGAATAGGATCTGGGACACTATCTACTGCTCTGCGTCTACTGCCACCAAGTCTATAGCTCAAAGCAATATTCAGGACTTGTTAAATTCCATTTAGATTTCCGAGTTCAAAAAAAGTCGCTGACCTGTATTATTACTCCGCCAAAATGCTCTGAAATCCACCTTTACCTGTCGTTTTACACTGTTTTTACGCACACGTAATCTCGTCCATGAAAACCAAACAGTGTTAAGTAACCTTTAAGTGTTTACATCACGCACAAACGTCTTAAAAGACGCACTCCTCCCGAAGCACATTTTGTGTGTACACATCGGCCTCCCAGTGGTTGACAAACAGCAGAGGATTACAGTACTGCAGGTTAGCTGGAGTGGGTAGTTTACAGAGGGCACTCGATTGGAGAGCAAAAACACCCAAAAGCAAAGAAAAGTCATGTCCAAAGAGCGGGAATTTCTTTGACCCAGCAGCCCCTTAATCTATTTAACACCCGCGGGCTTCAGCCAGAGTGGGCTCTCTGCATCTCCCAAGAGCTCTCCACTGCCAAATATTTACTCTGTTGTTCAGCTCTCCATTCCCAATCCCTCCTCAGCCAAATGGAGATTTTTCTCTCATGGTTCTAGTCAGCAGCTGAACTGACAGCTTCCCTAGAGCTTTCCCTAGAAGTTCGACGAAGAGACCTCTTTCTGTTTTCCACCCTGCAATCATATATATATGTATATATATATATATATATATATATATATATATATATATATATATATATATATATATATAGATAGTGACTGTAGAAAGCAACATTTAACATATTTAACATATGCAATGATAATTTTTTGTAAATAACTGTAGTTTTTTTTAAGAAAGCTTAGAGGTTATTCCTCCAGTCAGAAAACGTTTAAGCTTTTAAAATGAATGTTTAATGAAGTCTGTTCCAAATAACATTCTCAAGTCATTTAATCAGTATTTGGTTTATAAGCTCATTTTAAAAAAAGAAATCGACAGAGTGCAAGTAAGACTGTCCTAACCCGGAATATTAGATTTTATAGGATTAATTCACAGACCTGAGTTCATGGATTTGCATTCACAGTGCTTAACTTGAGATATCACTTAATTATGTAAAATTACATTCCTATCCGCACTAAATCCTTAAGACAGAATTTTTGGACTGTACTTTCATGAACTACTAACAAGAAAGTTTAAAGCAAACAAAATCTCAGCAGTAAAAATCTGGAGTCAGTTTGGAATCAGCAATCTTTTTATTCCGACTCACTCCAAACTCATGCCACAGCATCAATAAACCAACTGCTGACATATATGTATTATATTTGTGTCTAAAGCTGTCGCATCGGAGTAAAAGACAAAAACTGCTGAAAAAAAACAACAACATTTATCTGATTTCAGTCTGACTGATTATTTAACACCTATGGCAACAATGGTTCCTCTGTTACTTCTCAGTTTAGTGTGGTGTCTCAGCGTAACATCACGCTCCAGCAGCTGCACCTGCTGCTGATGTCCTCTCCTGTAAATACCATTAGCATTTTGGACAGGGGCTGTGGGGGATAATTACTTGGCAGCCACATCGCTCGCGCTGCAGTAAACCGGAGTCTTGTGAGGCTGCTTGACCGTACAGCAGCTGTATGTTTGTACTCGGTGAAAGTGTGTCAAAAAGTATTGTTTTTAAAGACAATAAACCAGTGTGTGTCAAAGACGTTTTTATAAAAAGGAGTTACAAAACTCCTGAAGAAACTAAAAATATACAAGAAAGTATTCTAAAAATAAATAAATAAATAAATAAATAATAAAAATAAAACAAATCCAGGGGAGGCAAAAATATTTGAGAGCACCCTGAATTTCAAACTGACGATTTTAGTGGAAAATAAATCACCTTTAGAAATAAGAATGAAGTGGAGACAGAAACACCAAGAAAAAATGAAGTTAAAAGCTAAATATTCATCTTGATCATTTAATAAAGTTAGCACTGATCATTTATTGACCACTGAAAAGAAACAAACACACCTGTCAGTGCAGTCCTGATAGATACTTTAGCAAACTCAGAATAACAGTTTATGTTCGGTGCAAAGCATGATCAATATACACCTTTTGAAGTCAAGTTGATGGAGAGACCCACATTTATAAATATTTACAAATTAATTGATATATAGCTGAGCTCTTGTCCTGATTATGACAAGACCGATATACAATAAATGACTAATTGTAATCGTTCTATTGACTTCTGATGGCATTAAAAGCAGACATGTATAAATGGATCCATATGCATTCAGAGATGATTTAAAATCTACAACATTAATAACACGAGTGTTCTGTCACCAAAATGCTTTCAGGCAAGAAAATTCAATTTCACACAATTTCATTGTTCATTTAAGAGAAACAGCATTACTAAAAACAAACAAACAAACCAAGTAAAGTCTTTTTCATTCATGCTTTTACATACGCTTACTTTCGACTGCATGATGTATATTTTTAAAGCCTTCTGAGTGTTGTAGATGCATCTGACGTGTGTGATACTTGGTTGCCCTCTGCAGGATTCACATTAAAACTGAGAGGCAGACTCGTCTTAGCATTTTTCAACCAATCACAAGCTGTGGGAGGAGTTTATTTCACTAGTCTTTAAGTTCTTTTGAGCTTAATGTAGCCCCAGCACCCTTAGTATCCCTGCGCCAACTTATACAGGCAAACAGATATGACAGCTCTGCAGTGTCTAATGTTTTCATCTATTTTTACTAATTCTTTGTTTCCTGAAGGGCTTCAGCTTTGTGAACTATACAGCTATGGGGGAGAAGAGACTCTTGCTCTTATTGTCCTTACACATATTTTCCCTTGCTAATCTTATGACGTTATGTTATGATGTTTGCAAAATGAAACTACAAGGAGAATGCAATGCTTTACAAAATACAATACCCTTGAAAACAAACACGTACAGCATATATATATATATATATATATATATATATATATATATATATATATATATATCTTTTAAAATGCATGGTTTATAGATAGTTCACCACCACCATAAGAAATATCAGCTGCTTAACATTTGTTAACAGCTTTCTTTGTGCCAACTGTTCAGTGGGTCTAACAGGCCAGGGTCAAAGGCCAGTTTTCACTCCTTTTAGCTGTAATACATAACCGATTATGGTTTTGTAAGGTGTGTAAAAACTATTGATTTTTTTAACTGACTTTTTATTTTTGTTTCTCCGGTAAATATAGATTATCTAAAAAAGGTCGTATTTCATATACAGCAGAACCTTCCATTTGAATTGACGTTTTTTGTGTGTGTGTGTGTGTGTACCAAGTAACTTGAACTTATCAAGATAAAAACAACTTGGCCTGACATATATTCACACAGACAACCAATAGCAGGAGGGATGAACGCAGTGTTTAAGGAAAGAAATGCAAATAAACGTATACTTGCGTAACAGACACGTCACAAGCATATTTGAAAGTGAAATAAGTTCAGTCTAAACAGGTGAAATAGAACTCAATATAGTTACAATTTTACTAATTGAACGAGCCAATCCAGGGAAGTAAAAACTTATCATTTATCAGGCAATTAAAATTGTATATGTGTAGTATATGATTCTGGTATTTTATTAAAAAGTCGTGGAATAATACTTAAGAAATGTTTGACGTGTTCCCTGAAGATCCACCAGATGGCGCCACTGCATTTTACAATACACAGACTTGCCCAGGTAAA